TTTCTCTTTTAGACAAGGTGCAAAAACGCATTGTAAACATAGTTGGACCTGCTCTTGCAGCCAACCTTCAACCTCTGTCACATCGTCGTAATGTTGCTTCTCTTTCTCTTTTCTACAAATACTATAATGGGCACTGCTCTAAAGAGCTAGCCTCTCTTGTGCCGTCTACTAAAATTCATTCTCGTGTTACTCGTCATTCAATTAAGTCTCATCCTTTTTCTGTTACTGTTCCTAAGTGCTCCAAAAACTCTTATTCGTCTAGTTTTTTTCCTCGAACATCAGTTCTTTGGAATTCGCTTCCTTCATCTTGCTTTCCTGATTCATATAATTTGCAATATTTTAAGTCGCCTGTCAATCGTTATCTTGCTCTACAATCTTCATCTTTTCTCTTCCAGTAGCTTCCAACACTAATAAGTGGTTGCTTGCAACCTTGTTGGAAGCGAAGATAATTAAAAAAAAAAATATATATATATATATATACATATGTATATATATATATATATATATATATATATATATATATATATATATATATATATATATATATGTACATATATATTTATATATATATATATATATATATATATATATATATATATATATATATATATATATATATATATATATATATATATATATATATATATATATATATATATATATATATATATATATATATATATATATACAGGGTGTTACCCAGGAAAAAATTTCATACAGCGTTTTTGCGAAATAGGGAATTTAGGTGCGAATGAAAAAAAAAAAAAAAAAAAAAGGTCCTTACATTCTGCAATTGAATTTTAGTCAAAATAAATTTTCTACTTTTGCTGGGAGTTACATTTACAGCAGGAATATTTTTCTAATTTATATATGTTTAATTTTAATTAATCAACTTGTTTCATTATGAGCAATCAAAGATAAAAGTTAGATAAGTGTTTTTACTAATTTATTATTGCTCTGTTTTTTAAGAACGTTGAGCACTCTCTCTCTCTCTCTCTATATATATATATATATATATATTTATCTCTCTTTCTTTCTTTCTCTCTCTCAATCTCTCTCTCTTTATATATATATATATATACATATATATATATATATATATATATATATATATATACATATATATATATATATATATATATATATATATATATATATATATACATATATATATATATATATATATATATATATATATATATATACATATATATATATATATATATATATTTATATATATATATATATATATATATATATATATATATATATATATATATATATATATATATATAAATATATATATATATATATATATATATATATATATATATATATATAATATATATATATATATATATATATATATATATATATATATATATATATACATAAATGAATAAAATTGCTTTTGCCTCATTATTTTTCATTAAATTTCAAATTTTCAGTGATCAAAATAAATCAAATCAAATATATTCTGAATAAAGTCAATACATCAAGGTTATTTACAAATAGTAACTTGTAAAATTTAATACTGATAAAATGATGCTAATATTATTTGCATCATTTTATTATTATTGAAGTAATATTAATAATAATTATAATGCAATTAGGAGTAAATAAAAATAATAGTTATAATAACAGCGATCAAAAGTAATAGTAAAGATTATAAAAAGTATACACTATACTATTTTAATAATAATAACAAAAATAACAGTAAAAATAACAATAAAAATAATAACAACAACAGTAATATAACAAAAACAGTAATATAAAAAAAAATTATCGCAATATTAATAACAGTAAGAATCATAACATTTATAATGATAAAAATGTAGTAATAATAATAGTGATGAAGAGAAAATACTTCAGTTTAAGAAATATTAGAATAATAAATAACTGGTTATTTATACTTTATAACATTCACAATTTTTTAGAAAAATATTGCTTTTAAATTATATATAAAAATATTGAAACAGAACAGTGTTGTGTTTTAATTTTTTTTTTGTTAAATTTAATAAGTTTAGCAAAAAATATTAAATCTTAACAGAAAAGAAAAAAATTAGATAAATAGAAGCTCAGAATTATGGTTATAAATAATAAGTTGAATGAAAGTATGAAATTTATAAGCAATGTTTTTCTAAAAAGTAGTTAATGAGAGCAGTTTTAAATTTTGAGAATGACTTACATTTTTTACATGACAATATCAGTATTAAAATTTTAACAAAGAAATTGCTCGAAATTAAAATTTACCAAGAAATGTGCACTTAATTAAAATGAAAGAACTTGTATTAAGTTTTCAACTCAAGGTAAGTACTTTGAAAAGTTCTAAACCATAGGTTTCTACAACTAAATATTCATCTCTCTGGATCTTCAACATAAATTTTCGTAGGTCGCTCCTCCGGAACATTTATCGGGTAGGTACAATCGGCAGAGCAGAGCAGATTGGCAGAGCAGATCATTGAAATGTTAATAACGGCAGAGCAGATTATTCAATCAGCCGTTTCCTAAAGTGTGATTTGCCAAATAATTCGGCAGAACATATAATAGAATTTTTATAATGTGATTGCCAAATATTTTTATGAAAAACGATGCACTTCGAATAGACAGAACTATGAGCTGACTTTTTAAACATAAATGTTTTTTGTTGTCGCAATATTTTCCAAAAAAAAAGTGATCTGCCGTATTCTAATGTGTGATCTGCCAAATATTTTGGCAGATCATAATGCAACCGGCAGAGCAGATTGGCAGAGCAGATCATTGTAATAATAATAATGGCAGAGCAGATTATCACAGACAGACAATGAGCCGTTTTCTATTTTGTGATCTGCAAATTTATATTTTGATAATGCGTGATCTGCCAAATAATATTTGAATAATGTGTGATCTGCCAAATAATATTTGGCAGATCACTAGAAATATTTGGCAGATCATTAGAAAACGGCTGATTGGATAATCTGCTCTGCCGCTATTAACATTACAATGATCTGCTCTGCCAATCTGCTCTGCCGATTGTACCTACCCACATTTATCGCCTGTAAACGTTTCGGCTGTAGAAATTTATCGACGGTAATTTTGAAAAAATTTTTATAATATTGAAACAAATCATTTACGCCGATAAAATTTACAGCCTGTAGCATTTTACGCCGATAAAAAGTTTTATAACATTGACCCCAGGTATAACTTCTATTGACTATGGTTTGATGAATTCATCGTCAGGACACAATGTGCATTCAACGTAAAACTTGTTATTTTTTTGAAACTAGACAGTAGTTTTGCCATTTCAAATAAATTTCTCTCGCACCTTTTTCCATTTCAATATTTGAATCTGTTCATTTTTATTTATAAATCATTAAAGTTGCAGTTGCTAAACGTACCAAATGTCATAAATTAAAATATTTTTTTTTTTGAATAAATTTAATAAACACTTACATTTTATATAATACAGTCTTCTAATTTAATATATTTTTACATCTTTTTATGCGAAAAATCTCATTAGCAACAAAATCATAAATGAGAAAACACTGCACTGCAATTGCAACTTATACGATTTTTAAAACATTGAAATTAAGTGATTACTAAAAAGTGTTAAAAATCTTCAAGATTAGCGCTTTTTATTTTTCACCTGTTTCCTTCGGAGAAATACGTGAAAAACAGTTCCTCATGAGAAAATTTATGCTGAGGACTCTTGATTACTTAAAAACGCTTTGACTCTTTTCTCATTAAAAAAACAAAAGCTTAAATTTCGAAAGTTTTCAATAACTTTCAGTTATCTCGGTTTTTATATTTTCACATTTATTTTCTCGGTATTCCGAGACCAATAGTCCGAGATCGAAAAATGACCGAGATTTCCGAGACCGAGAAGTCCGAGACGAGCAAGATCTGAAAATATAGTTTTCCATCTTCCACGAAAAAATTTTTGTTTTTAAACTTTTTCCAGTCTTCTATATTAGTTTTTTAGAAAAAATACAATCGTTAATTTAAAAAAAAAAAAAAAAGTCCATTAGAAAAAGTGGGAAAGGAGGGGGGGGGGCACATGCCCCCGGCCCACCCAGTGTTGTCGGCTCTGATTCCATTTACTAGTCAACTTAATAAATTAACTGGTGATTTATTTGATTGATTTGTTTTTATAATTACCGATTGTAATGTAAATATGAAGTTGAAAGAACCCAAAATGGAATTAAACAGTATCGGATATATTTTTCAATAATTAACAATATCAGTTAAATCAAAAAGCAGTAATATTTTTGTTTAAACAATTTGTTTATTTATTTTGCTAATGGCAAAGGATAACAAAATCCATTTCGCGAAGCAATTTACTGGGTTTAGTTTCTGAGAAACGTTTTCCGAAAACACGTGTTATATGCGTTTTAATCAAATAAACTTCCGTTGATATAAATTGAAATTGAATTTTCAAAACAACTACTTTTAAGTTGTTTAAAATGTTTTACCTTTATTAAATTTTATCTTTACAGTTCTAATTAAATGTATGCTTATATCATTTTATTAATGTTTGTTCATACATAAATTTATCTTTTCATTTAATTTCATAAATTAGTACTTCCGATTTTCCTGAAAAATTAATAACTAATAATAATAAGTAAAATGTTGAAACAACAATGTCAAATCAACATTGGAAATATTTTTTCTATCAATCTAATAACATCTGGAACAACTTGTCGTTTGAAGTTTTAAGTGTCTCCAATATAACTTTCTTTAGGAATAAAACTAACTGCTTCGGTTATGAAAATTTCTGTTTATATTGACTGAATGTGTTATGCTATTTTGCATATTTATAATTTTTTTTTGTTTGTACTATTTTTAATTTTGCAAAGTGAGGCATTATTTATATTGAGTATGGCGTATGAGGTCTGACCTTTTTTTTTGGACCCGCATGTCCTTTTATTTCCTGGTTCTTTTTAGAGCATTTGTTAGTGATTTTAATAACCAATCTTATTGATTTTTTTTCAAGTTTTTAAAAAAATTATTTTTTCGTTAGATAAAAAAAAAATAAAAAAAAATGGCAAGTTCTTCAGAATTTGAAACAGATTGTTCCCAGCAAACAGAATGTCCTCTGACATTAGATACTTATAATCAATTAAAGGAGCAGTTCCAGCTTGATAGTCAAGAGTAAGTAGTTTTTTTTATTCATTTATGTCATAATGGTTCTTAAGATCACAAATGAAATAATGCTAATTAAGCAATTTTAATAAGTTATGGGTCTAGTTTGACAAAAATTTTTGTTGAAATTATTTTCTTTCCATAGTTTCTTTGTTTGACATGCTAATAATTTTATCAAACTTAATATGAATCTTCAAAAAAGCTCTCCATTGATTTTTTAAAAAGAGCATCAACATCAAGTTTAATGAATCTGATTAAGTTTAACCAATCTGAGGTACCAAAATATCTGTTGATATATTGTTTATCCAACAAGCTTATAATAATCTTATGAGTTTATAAGGTTTTTTGTAGACTTTAAAATTCTTTGAAAAAGAAAAATTTATAATACATCTATATCTCTAAAAAGTTTTTGTTAAAATTTGTTTTCCTTATTTACTATACATTTTTTATTTTAAGTATGATTCAATGATAGGTAATAAACTTTATATTATACAGTAGTGTTTGAAAGTATTTTTACTACTAGTTTTTGATTGAAAAAAAATATTGACAGTAAATAGATATTATTTATCTGTTTTTTATCAAATGTAAATTAGTGGCATTTTGCTGTAGTATAAAATTTTTACTTTTATTTATCACTAATAATTAATTTTTTTTAATTTTACTTTTTACAAAAGTATTTTTACTTTCAATTATATATGAAAAACAAACAAACATGTAAAACTGAAGAATAGGTTAAGGTTGTTTCAACCCAAAGGGTTCTAATCATTCGCTAAACCTGATAGCTATCAAAGTTCATGAAATTTTAGTTATATTAATCAATATTTTGTGGCATAAGTAATTACCTCAAACGCTTTTAAGGTAATTACAGAGGCACATCTTTGAGGCATTAAGCTAACAAGCTTAATTAGTTTGTCTATAAGGTTATTTTTCCATTTTTTGGTGAAAAGCTGCTAACAAATTCTTTTTGTTGGTAAAATTCCATTCTACTCGATGATTAAGCTCCTTCCATAAATTTTCAATGGGATTTAGGTCAGGTCTTTGGCCAGGCTAGTCCATAACATAGACTTTAATTGATATGAACCAATTTTTTGCAGCCTTTGCAGTCTTCTCTTTTATTTTTAGGATGTCTAACATATAAAGTAAATATAATTTTCTTTCATCAGATGAAAGAAAAATATATTTACTTTAGTCAATCCACAACACTTTACCCCATCTTCTTTAGTCCAGTATAAATGCTCTGTGATGAATTTTGCTCAAGCTATCCAGTTTTTATTTAAATAAATGGTTTTCGACTAGGACATCTTCCAAACAAATTGTCGTCACATATGCATCACATATTTTTGATATTTTTACTTCAGAATATTTGTTTGTTTTCAGAAGATATCTGCATTCCAGTAAAGCAAGCACATTTTTTGACATTTGACAAAGTTGACAATCATTCCTTTTATAGTTTTTCTTGGTCGACTCGATTCGGGTTTTTTTTTACCTGTGTGCTTTTTACCACTATAAAATTTATTAAAGTTTACCTGTGTGTTTGCTTGCAGCCTTGTTGTAAGCAAAGATTTAAAAAAATTATTTGTTTTTTAATTATAATAAAAATAAAAAACAAGTTCTTCTATGAGATATGACAATATGCATAATTCAATTAAATATTGTACTTTATTTGCTCCATGCATTGCAGTTGAACCTTTCAGTGAACCATTAGTAATTTATCATAAAAAATACATGCCTACTAAAAATATATAAATATAATATTTAATTTACATTAAAAAATGCGTTTATTTTAAACGATCATTTTAATTAACTTTTTTATTTATTTAAAGCCTTTGCGTAAAATAAAAACTTTAGAAAAGATTAACAATTAAAAGTTATTCATGACATTACAATTTTTTTATTGTATTTAAATTGTTAAAACATTAAAACAGTCATTATCAAATTGTAAAGAAAAAAAATAAGTGTGGTCAGTTACAGCATGCGATCGCATGCCATTCCTGTCCAAGCCTGAAACCACACTTAAATGAAATGTAAAAGAAAGTTTCAAATTAAAATAAATTTTTAATTAAATTGTTCTTAAATTTTAGATTATATTTCTATTGATTTATTTATTATTTATTCATTACACTTTTAACACAATTTTTATCCTTAATTCAAAGTGTTATATTTTACTTGCTTATGTCTAAAAACTGAAAAAAAGTGATTAAATTGAGGAAAAACTTTGATTTAATGACCACACCACAAAGAAAATTCGTTTATATTGGCAGAACATAAGAAAATTTTTATAATTTTGTTCACTTGTCAACAATCGCATATTGAATAGATAGTTTTTTATTTAGACAAGTTGCAGAGCTCCTCTAAATAAGCTCCCAAGTTCTCCTTGATTTTATTGAGATGAGTATTGAGGGTATGGAATTTGAGTGACATTTTTAATCCCATTTTCGTCTAACGGTTTATAAGAGTTTCAATCACTTAGTTTTTGGTCTTTTAATTACCTAGGAAGCCATGAACAGCTGCTACAAAACTGTTTCAAGTTGCTCTTGCCATCCTGTTCAGAAGCTTGGCAAACTTGTCATTTTCTATAATCTTTTTGATCTGTGGTCCAACTAAGATACAAGCTCCAACATGAGACTAAGACAACTTTAAAATAAAGATCTTGGAGATTTGAACTTCTTGTCAAGAGCAGTACAAATGGTGGCATAATCACTTTCTGAGGTTCTATTAGCAGTTCTCCCTACACATTGCTCTTGCCCACAGAGAACTCTTTCCGTTGTGGCTAGTCTTTTCTGTGATAGTGCACCTTGTCATGGCTGTGTCACGGCTGTGCCAAAGGCAAAGGAAGCAAGAAAATTTTGTAACCCTGCTTTAAAGCCCATTTTTTGAAGTCTTCAATGACCTTCCATCCATAGCTTTCATATTTCAAGGCACTCAGCAAAATTTTGATGCTGGTATACTTTTTTTTTGAGATGCACAAAGTAAACCATTCGAATAGACAAGTAGTTGTTTCCGTTGTGAAATAGCACAACTTTAAGGCTTTGGGATGAACTGTTTATAAATAGATAGCATTTGGTTACATTTATTTACCAATAGCTTTAAAAAGACCCGCCACATTGTTGCAGAACCAATTCTTTCTTTGTTCACCAATAAGACAAACTGAAATATTTTTTCAAGTCACCTTTTATATTTGTAGCACAAATTTTTGGACAGTTTGAGAACGTTCTAGAAAGATCTAGAAAGTTTTAAAATATTCTGGAAATTATTACAGTTAAAGAAGCAAAGTTTTTGTGGAACATCTATTTTATATTTGTTTTCAGAAAAATGGTTTAGGAAAACACACTTTTAACTCAAGGACAAAACAAAAATAAAAATTTTTTAATGTAGTATTGTTGTTTTACTATTTTAAGTTACGAATTTTTTGTGTTTTTCTTTAATAGCTATTCCTATTAAAATTATTACAAAGTTCATATTTTTATTAAAGTTCACTATTATTACATGCTCAATATTGTTGTAAAAAATAACATTGGTGGTTACTGTCATCAATATGACATGCCTGTATGAGAAAACGGAAAGACACTTTGGTCAATGTGATGATGCAAAAGTTGTTTTTTTTTTGCGATGGATAAAACACCTGGTATAATATTTGAAAGGTTCTATCTAGTACAGGATAACCATTTATGAAAGAGAATTTTTAGTTGTAGGTAATCGAGTGTTAATATTGAGTCATTTCAACAGCTGTCTACTCTTTGGCTTATCAGGTAAACCTTGATCATAAATAACTCTCATTAATTTACTGTTGACATACAGGGTGTATACTTAATTTCTGACCCCCACATGTTACAAACACAAGATTTTGAGTTGCTCTCTTAAATGCTACTTTAGCCCGAAAAAAACTATAGTATGTGTTTTGGTGTAACTATACTTTCTGCACATAAAACGCTCACTTCAGATAGGATATGACCTCAGAAAATGTTTATGGGAGCCATTTTGTCAACATACATAAAAATGATATTTTCATTCTCCTTGTCTTCCACGGCCTTTGGCATTATGACTATAGTTTTAGCACGATTTTTAAGTAAATTGTCCTTATTACTCCTTAATATGGGATCTTAGTTTGCCAATTAATAACACATTTTTTCTTCACTGTTTATGACATATTGCTACTCTTCGAAACCGGGGTCAGAAATTAAGTTTACACTTTTTTAATGTTTAGCATTTTGGCTACAAGAAATAATCAGCATAATTTATATTTGCCTTATTTATATCAGTAATACTTGGTTTCTGTTTATGATTTACATTAATTACTCTGTGTGTATTTATATGTATTATATGTATATGTTACTAACATGTATTTGTGTTTTTTAGCAATTTACTCTGAAATGAGTTCTGATAAACAGTTACTTCATCACCGAATTCAAGTTTTATGTAGTCAAGGATTAAGCATTAAAGAAATCACTAGACAGTGTAAAGTTTCTCAAAATACTGTAAGGAAGTGGGCAAGAAAACAAGAGGGTGATGTCACAGATGCTCAGCGACCTGGAAAGCCAACAAAGTTTTCACCAAGAACCAAGGACAGGGTCAGAAAGTGGGTTAAAGACAAAGTTAGAGTTGGAATGAGAACTGTTGATAAGAAACTGAATTTTTTAGACAGTTACAAAGAAAGAGGAAAAACAATTTCACACAGTGCTATCAGTAAATACTTGCGCAAGACCACATGGGGAAAGCATGCCTATACGCAGAAAGTGAAACCCATGTTGTCGCAGAAAAACATCACTGATCGCATAAACTTTTGTACTCGTTTGCAAGAAGAGGGATTCGCAGATGACTCACCGGATGGTAAAGTGAAATGAGCTCACGTATTGTCGACTGATGAGAGTCCAATTGAATTATATCTGGCTCCAAACTGTCAAAATCAAAGAGTACGTACAGCAACACCAGAGTTAATACCTTATGTTCGACGTCCGAAATTCGGTCTCAAGATTATGATAGCCGGCGGCATTTCTTGATATGGCAAAACTGATCTAGTTGTTGTTGAGCAAAATAAAACTGTTGATGGACAATATTACCGTGATATTATTCTACCTGTGTACAAACATGCAGCTGATGATAAGACCATCTTTCCTGTGAGAAATAAAGTTATTCTGATGCAAGATGGAGCAACTTGCCACACGGCAAGAGCAACAATGAATGTGATCAACAGAAACTTTCCAGCAGTGTGGACCGACTGGCCTGGCAACTCGCCCGACTTAAATGTCATCAAACATATTTGGTCAAGACTCCAGGACAGTGTTTTACACAATCCTTGACCTCGTAATCGTGATCAGTTGATCAGACGTGTTGAACAGGAGTGGGCTGCCATTACGCAAGAAGAGTGTTTTCGCCTAGTAGAAAGCCTGCCAAGGAGAATTACCCAATGCATAGAAAGAAATGAACAAAATACTGATTACTGACTATTAACATATATTCTTTGTCTAATTAAATTGATATGACAGTAATAAAATGGTATGTGTTGAAATACCGTATTCTTAAACCGAGATATAGGGGGTCAGAAATTAAGTATACATCCTGTACATGACTTGCTAGGGTACTTTGTCACTTATATGAGAAAAAATTTCTTGCCATATGATCCTTTGAAGGAACAGCACAAAAAGTTTTAGTTGCATAGCTGAAAATGGTTGCATAGCTGAAACTCCTTTGTTACAAGAATTCAGAATTTTTTTTCTGTTTTAACAGTTCTGAGACTCTAAATTTTTTCAACTTTAAGATCTTAGCATTCAAAAAAAAATTTTTTTTTTGAAATTTGTGCTATTTTTAAACATTTCCATGTCCAAATTAAAGGCTAGTTAATGTAAAATTTAATAGGAACTAAAAAATATAACCGTTTTAAAATAAAGTTATCAGTGTTTATTTGTTTTAGGCTTTTCGATCTGTGTGGATCTTCTGGTGAAATTAAAACCAGTGAATCATTTGGTGCAGTTGAAATAAGTGAATCATCTGGTGCAATTGAGACAAGTGAATCATCTGGTGAATTTAAACCGAAATGCCTAAAATCTGTAAAAAGTATGTTTTAAATCTCTCTCTCTCTCTCTCTCTCTCTCTCTATATATATATATATATATATATATATTATATATATATATATATATATATATCCATATAGTGTAGTCGAAAGAGCGTTTTAATGTAAAAAAAGTCTCTTACGACTACAATTTTAATTACCTCGTCTCTTAAGCTGTATTTGATTGTCGTCGAAATGTCAAAGCAATTAAATTAATGCGGAAGTACATTAAATTTAATTGTTTTTTAAAAATTTTTTAAAAAACCGCAATTATAACGACTAGAAAGTTTTTTTTTATTAGTGATGTTTTTGTTTTTATTTTATTAAAAAACATTTTTAAAACATGCGTAAATGTTGCTACATCGACTATCTTATAGCCTGACTCGCAACGGAGTGCTGCTTCATCGACTGACAAATAGCCTGACTCGCAAAGGAGTGCTGCTACATCGACTGACAAATAGCCTGACTCGCAACAGAGTGCTGCTACATCGACTGACAAATAGCCTGACTCGCAAGGGAGTGCTGCTACAACGACTGACAAATAGCCTGACTCGCAAGGGAGTGCTGCTACATCGACTGAGGGTTTGGTTTGGGCAGGCAGTCTATCATTTGAAAAAAAAAAAAAATTTAAGTTTTTAAACTTTTTCTGGTCTGGTTTATTAACGCGCTCTTTAAAACTACAGTTTATGGGAAACTCTTTTCAACTACCATGCAAGAGTATATATATATACATATATATATATATATATATATATATATATATATATATATATATATATATATATACATATATATATATATATATATATATATATATATATATATATATATATATATATATATATATATATATATATATATATATGTATATATATATATATATATATATATATACATATATATATATATATATATATATATATATATATATATATATATATATATATATATATATATATATATATATATATATATATATATATATATATGTATATATATATATATATATACATATATATATATATATATATATATATATATATATATATATATATATATATATATATATATACATATATATATATATATATATATATATATATATATGTATATATATATATATATATATATATATATATATATATATACTATATATATATATATATATATATATATATATATATATATATGTATATATAGGATAACTCAAGGAATTGACGGTCAATTATTTTTTTAAACTTTTTCTGGTCTGGTTTATTAATGCGCTCTTTAAAACTACAGTTTATGGGAAACTCTTTTCAACTACCATGCAAGAGTATATATATATACATATATATATATATATATATATATATATATATATATATATATATATATATATATATATATATATATATATATATATATATATATATATACATATATATATATATATATATATATATATATATATATATATATATATATATATATATACATATATATATATATATATGTATATATATATATATATATATACATATATATATATATATATATATATATATATATATATATATATATATATATATATATATATATATATATATATATATATATACATACATATATATATATATATATATATATATATATATATATATATATATATATATATATATATATACTATATATATATATATATATATATATATATATATATATATATATATATATATATATATATATATGTATATATAGGATAACTCAAGGAATTGACGGTCAATTATTTTTTTTGAACGGTCAAAATTTTTTTATTTTTTCTGTTTTTTTATCAAAAAAAAGATGTTAAAGCGAATTTACTTTGTTTTTTAAAGTTTAAGTTTGCTTATAGAAACCAGTAATTTTTTCTCTTTTTTTTTTTTTTTTCACTTTAATGACTGTTCTTCATGACTAAACTTTATAAACTGTTCTTCATGACTAAACTTTATATATAAAAAAATAAATCTAAAAAAAATTATAATATTATATATATAAATATATTAAAACTAAATCTAAAAAAAATTAAGGCTTGAAGGGATAAGGCTTAAAGAATAAAAAATTGTTTTAATGATAGCAATTTTAAATAAAATTAATGCTTTTTTTAAAAGCGCAAACAGGCAATTTATAATTTTTAATTTATTTAAAAATAATTGATTTCATTGCAATGACTTTGCAAATGGCGGAAAAGTTGCACGAAAAATAATTAAAAAGATTCAATGAAAAATAAAGTACAGTTGAGATTATGTTCTTAATTACATATAATCATTTTGAATATATATATATATATATATATATATATATATATATATATATATATATATATATATATAATCCTGTTGCAAAAAAAAAAAAAAAAAGCGCAAGCACTCAATTAGTAATTTTTAATTCATCTATAAACCATTTATTTGCAATTTGCTGCAAAACTTACGAGAAAATAAATAATAAGACATTGAGAAAATAAAACAAATTAAGTGCAGGTAAAAGAAAAACCGTTCATGTTTAAAAACATAATTAATTTTATATTATTATATTATTAACAAAACAAAACATAAATTTTTTATATTAAAATAGTAATAAAAAAAGAACTTCAATCATTTAAAAAGAAAGGATTTTTACTAAAGAAACAAAAAACTTATGATTATAACAATTATAGTTTACGTAGTTACGTATACGTTACATAAGTCTTGAGCAATACATTCACAAAGATACATACATACACAAAGAGAATTAATGAGTTCAGGTTGTTAAAGCAGTAAAATTACTGGTTTCTATTAATAAGCAATAATTATTAGATGAAAGTTTTAACAACGATAAATTTTATTTATACTCGAATATATTATAAGTAGTGGAATTAATAATATTAAATTATCAACTTTTAATTATTGAATTATATTGATATAAATTAATGAGTTTATAATTTTAATTTTTTGAATTATATTTATAAAAAGTAAATTTTTTTGTACATTTCGAAAGCAAAAAATAAAAACCAGGCATTATTCAAAATAAAAGAATTAGAAAAAATTAGATTTCAAACTTTTCGGTTTAATGACCAACTAGCAATTAAAGTAGCGTATCATAAACAAAAAAACTATTTAAAACTCTTTTTCAAAATTCAAATAGTTTATCAAAATTTTATTATATGCATTTTCCAAACAACATTAATTTTTTGTCAAACCTTGTTTTAAATCTCTAATTTTTTTTAAACCGGTCAACCATGACCGGCAAGAATTCATTTCGGCAGGTCAAATAGCATTTTTAGTCATTTCAGGGGGTCATTGACCATTGACTGGTCGTTATTTTCCACGCTGTATATATATATATATATATATATATATATATATATATATATATATATATATATATATATATATATATATATATATATATATATATATATATATGGATTACTTCAAAAATGATTTTTGTGTTTTTCATCTTAGTTAAAATGATAATGGTTTTCTTTTATTTTTTTATATTGACTGCTATGCAAAAAAAAAAAAAAAAAAAGCAAAAAAAAAACAAGCGTTGCAAGCAAAAAAGTCAATCTAAAACTCAAAAATTTGTCTTTTTTTATTCAATGTAGTTTGCTCAAGAATTTTTAATTTTTTAATCGTTACCTAAAAATAGAAAGAAAATAAAAAAGAAAGTGATTTATATTTATGAAAAAAATATTTCTTTTCGAGAACCATAAACTGCTCCCACTTTAGGGGAATGTGGGTGGGAGGTCCCACTGAGACTTGTCAAGCGATAAAATCAATCATATAAATAAAAAAAATTAAAAAATTAAAAGAAAAATACAATATCATAATATTAAAAAAAAATCTAACTTTTTTATTTTATTAATTTTTTTCTTATTATATAGAAATTTGAGTAAGTTTTTTTATTGCAATCAAAAGTTGTATAAATATTCTTGTGCTTGCAAGATAATAAAAAATTATGATAAATTAAACACAAAGTTAATAATTTTTTTTTTTAATAACATATTCATAAAAAAATTTGTTAACTAAAAAAAATTTTGTTTTCTGTTACTAAATATGTTGATAAAATAATTAGCTTAATACAGATTAAATTTTTCTTAGTTTTTCATTAGTAAATGTATTAGTAAGTCTGTTATTAAGATAAAAATAGTAACAAAAGTATATTTATAAACTTGTTGCTCTCACATTTATATATATATATATATATATATATATATATATATATATATATATATATATATATATATATATATATATATATATATATATATATATATATATATATACATATATATATATATATATATATATATATATATATATATATATATATATATATATATATATATATATATATACATATATATATATATATATATATATATATATATATATATATATATATATATATATATATATATATATATATATATATATATATATATATATATATGTATGAAAATATTGAAATAAATATTAAAATAAAAATCATAGTCAAATTCTCTTTATAATAAATATAAAGACAAAACATTACATGGTACCAGAAGTGAACTGAAGACATTTTAAGAAGAGATTTTGGAAAAGTACTTATTTTAAAAAGAAAAAGAAAATGGAACACTTTTTGCCAAAGCCAAACAAAATAGACTTCAATGAATCCAATATGGCTGTAACATGGAAAAAATGGAAACAAACTATGCAGTTTGTTTCTTCCTCAAATAAATCTGAGAAAGAAAAATACGCGACATTTTTATTTATGATCGGTGAAAAAGGAAGAGAAATATTCAGTACATGGACTTGGAACAAAACAGAAAACAATGACGGTGTAATCGATGACATCACGGTAAAAGAACTTTTTGAAAGATTCGAAGAATACTGTTTACCGAAAAGAAATCTGGTTTTGGAACGAAGAAAATTTTTTTTACGAAAGCAAGACGTCAATGAATCATTTGATTTCTTTGTAACTGATTTAAAAAATTTGGCTCAAACATGCGAGTTTGAAAACA